GCACGGTCCGCAGATCAGTAATCAAAGTTGAAAATATGGCGTCAGAGTCAAGTGGTCCGCGGACGAACAACCTTGACCGTTTCGCGCAAAAAGTGTAAGGAGAGGGGCGCTATAAGGCAAAATAGGTCCAGTGACGCCTCCTTTTTTCCAGTGACTCCGCCTCCAGACTCCGCCTCCAATGCCCTACTTTCAGTGAAAAACGAGCTGCAGGACGAAAAAGCATGAAAATCGTCACTTGTACGGTCGTAGAGTTCTTATCGGGGAATCAGCTGTGCGGATGAAGCGTAATGTTGGAGTTAATTGGGCACGTACAAACAGGCATCGGAATGGGGTTCTATTTAGGACACTTGGCATGTTTTTTCTTTTTTTTCTTCACTATCGGTTACTCTGAACCTTGTCGGCTATATGCAAACTCGAATCCACTATCTATGACGGCAAATGATCGCGGGCTTTGCCTTTGAGCTCTAAAATGAGCAGCCGCCGCCTTGAAACCACTCTAATCAGAGATTACTCCGACCCACAGTTGTCTCGGGAGCTATAAGTTTGTTACCGCAGTTTACAACTAGAAGCAAAAGGACGACCCCTACGTAGTAAACAACTATTTCACTCTTACCCAACAACAAAGCCTACACTAATATGTGGACCACCACAATAATTTACTAAAACAAAGTTCAGACCACCTAACAGTCACCTAGTTAGACCCTATACGACGACCCCATAGCGCAATGCCAGAAACTGACTGGGAACCAAGTTAACACATCCCACAACCTAATGATCACTTATTTAATCCTAACCTCCTGCCCTGCACGGTACAATCATTCACTATTGGGTTGGCACATAAGTAATGGCGTTTTTTTCAATTGAAAATTTTGTTCCAAAAGTGAAATGTTTTGCAAGCAAGCTTGATATCATCTGATAGGAAACTTCTCGTAGTATAAGAATATCAAAACAGCTTCGGTTGAGGGAATAATTTTTGTGAATTTTTTAGTCGTTGAAGTTGAAAGTGAAGTCGGCGAAAATTAGCACCTTCGACAACTGCCTCTATTTACGTCTACTCGAAGTGCTAAAATCGCTTAAGCTGCTCCATACATTCGGAAAAGGTTGAGGTAGAAGTCTCAGCAAGGGAATCTCAATAGGACGCTTTGGAACTAATTTCAAGATATTTCAAAGTTGCAAGGCTTCAACTCGGCTGATACTGGGACCAGCTCACCGTCTTTTTCCTGAAATTTTCATGTCAACTTGAATGTTGGCTGATGATGTTTGCATGATCTGATAGCAATTCCGTCTATAGCAGTGCTGGGCAATATTTGAACATCCGTTTTATTTTCCTTGTTTTCAGGTTGTATACATGGAATGTCAGTCGATAAGCATCAACAATTGAACAGCACTGTGGTGGGAGGAGGTTGTAAGAAACAATGGGGAATATATCATTGACTAGTTTATTGTAAATATCTATATTTTTATAGTGTTGTAAATACTGTGTTTGAAATTTACTAAAGAAAACAAAAAAAAAATCGTGAGGTATGGTGACCTGTTTCTTCAAGGTGCGTCGGTCGGTTGTGCTTTTCAGGAATATTGTTAGCCGTCCTAGATAATGAAGCTGTTCTCTAATCCTTACTCAAACCATTGGCGATTCATGACGCTCTAGAGCTTGACAGCTTCCTAAAGGCAGCTCATTAGAATCGCCATGGAACCTGCTATTTGGGCTATGCGGTTGCTATCAGACATGCAAACCAATATCAGCGGACATATCAACTGTCCCTCATAAATTTCAAGTGGAATTATGACGTGAGCCTCCCATTATCGCGAGGTGAAGTTGCAGCCTTGAAATTTTGAATTAGTTCCAAAGCGTCCCTATTGAGATTCTCTTGGCCCTGGAGACTCTTACTCAACTTTTCCAATATGGACAGCTAAGCGATTTTAGCACTTGTATCCATCCCGAGTAAGACGTAAAATAGAGGCAATTGACGGAAAGGTCTAATTTCGCGACTTACGTTCACTCAGCGACTAAAAAATTCACAAAAATTATTCCCTCAACCGAAGCTGTTTTGATATTCTTATACTACGAGAAGTTTCCTATCAGATGATATCGAGCTTGCTTGCGCAAAACATTTCACTTTTGGAACAAAATTTCAAATGAAAAAAAAACGCCAATTACTATGTCGCCATCCCAATCAGATCCATTATGGCACATAATGAATCACGTTTGTCCCACCTGCTCCATAGATCTATTGGGTCATTTAACATTGACCTTCCTAACAGAGGAATGCGGTTCAAGCCTTCCTCGATGACTATAAGCTATTGAATGAGAACAATTAGTGCATGATCTTTCGTTAAATTTAGACATGTAGACAAAGGGAAGGGCAAGACGGAGAAAAGGAGGAGGCCGAGGAAACCACTTGTCTCGTTCTCTTCCGAGGGCTTTCTCTTAGGCATTGTTCACAGTCTGCGACCCTGACGAAACGGCGGTTGGGAGAAAAGCAAAAAATAGTCATCGATCGGAGAATCGCCAACCGCTAGTTTCGCCGAACCGCCGCGGTTCGGCGGTTGGGCGAAAAGCAATAGATGCGTATCGATTTCGCTGGCGAAAAACGCCTCGAGCTAGCGTTTCGTCGAAGGCGAAAAACGTCGCGGTTTGGCGAAACGCCCGTCGATTCGTATCAAAACCCTTTCGCCCAACCGCCAGACTCTTCGCCCAACCGCCAGTCGATACGTATCGAAAGCTTTTCGCCGAACCGCTGCGTTCCAGAGAAACGCTGGGCCGCAGACTGTGAACAATGCCTTAAAGGCAGAGCCCGCGATCATTCGCCGTTTCAGATAGTGAGTAGGGGGTTGCAGGTGGGCGACAAGGTGCTGTGTTACCCGATAACGAAGAAAAAACTGAAAAATTATGTCAACTCTCCTGTAGAGAGCCCCATTCCGATTCCAGTTTGTACGTGCCCAGTTAACTCCATCTCCAACACTACCCCCATCCGCACAGCTGATTCCCCGATAAGAACTCTACGACCGTACAAGTGACGATTTTCATGCTTTTTCGTCCTGCAGCTTCGTTTTTCACTGAAAGGCGGGCCTTGGAGGCGGAGTCACTGGAAAAAAGGAGGCATCACTGAACCTATATCACGCTATAGCGCCACTCCCTTACAACTTTTCGCTAAACTGGTACAAGGTTGTTCCTCGCGTAGCGCACTGCACTTCCGACGCCATATTTTCAACTTCTACACCTGATCGCGGACCGTGCCTTTAAGTAGCCAAGCTTTTAATTGCGTCATCACGTAAGTCGAGCCTTAGCAGGTACAACAGCGAAAAAAGCTCAGAACAAGCCAAAAAATCGAAATTTTCTATGCGATTATTTTTTGTTTTTCCTTGACTTGTGAACCGAAATATATAGTGTAGTTCGCTGCGGACGAAACTTGGGTGTGTCAGGCGGGATGAATTTGGACTCCAGTAATTGGCGGGATGATTTGGTGGCGGTGCAACCCGGCCTTCATCCAGTTTGTAAAGCGAGGCAATTGAAGACTGTATCTACCGTTCGTATTACTTAATTTCTACTACTGGTAGTCGCATGCTAGAAGGCAGAAGAACGGCTTCAACGGTGTGAACACTCATACTGCCTGACACGTCCAATCGTTCGCAGCGAACTAGAGTGTAGTGGATATAAATGAAGTATGCATGGAAGAACTGTTTCCAAAGAAAGTACGTGAAATCTAGGTTCCGACACTGCCCAAAGACAGCAATTAGGATGACAACTTGCGACCGACGTAAAGGCCGTCACCATCAAACCCCATCGGGAATTTTGATTAACGTCTGCGAGTCAAAGGGAGAGAGACCACCAAGACGAGTGAGCAGTTCCATGCATTTTTGAGAAATCGGAGTCGGATATCCATGGATACCTCTGAAGCTCCTGTTGAGTTTCCGGATAATGAGGCTCGAAATCCAGTCCTGAAGTAGGCAAACCAAATTCAGAGCGCTGAATAGTTTTCTCTTGTTATTCCTGCTATCTGTTTACCTTTCCACTGTACTGCTGTTGAATAAGAGCTTCAGAACCGTGTGAAGCGCCATTTTTGGCTTGTTCCAGTTTTTTTTCCGCAGCTGTACCTGCACTGTCCGTTGGTCATCACCCACACGGCCGCCACGCGTTCGGCGCTCGGCGGAGTCAGCGATTTGAAAACCTCTCTGTTCCCGCGCGCGAAAAAAACAGCTCGTCCAGCTATCGTCATTGAGGATTTGTGGCGTGGAAAGAGTACTGGAAACAACAACAGGAAGACAGCATCGTATCCTCGTTGTCATTTCCGTTCTTTTCGGTTCGCTTTGCCAATTCGTTCCCTATTCGCTGCTGTGTAAGTTCCGAACATTCCTTGACTGCATTTCGCGCTGGATATTCCAACACATTGAACACATACATGTGTTGAGGTTTACTATTTTGTATCATTTCGGAGCTTTTCGTTTCGTTGAAAATGGTCACCCCTGACCCATTAATTCTGGGTTTCAAACTTCGAAAGGGATTCTCATATTTCAAGCAACAGAAATCTCTTCAGAATGTGCTCAGAATTGCCGCATTTATGTTGAACGGGCTTCTTTTCTTCTAATTTTTATGAACCAAGGGGAAATTCGTTCGGTTATTTTGTGCAAATATGTCCATAAGCCTTCTGAAGATGGGGCTGTGAGCATCAAAACTGCTGTATAGGGACTTTTCTATCTTACCAGTTGTGAGCTTCAGATTTGTATAACATTCTAGTTTACGATCTTAGGGTGTTCTATAATGAACTGGTAAAGACCTGAACGCTTTAACACAAGGAAGTCACCTTCTTCAGAATGTGCTCTTAGATTTGAAGTCGTAGATTTATAGTGTTTTGAGGTCTCTATTACGTGTCTGGTTGTAAAGCGACTTTGTTTAGTAAGTTCCGCATGCTCCACCACTACCTCCCCCTCCTCCCACCCGTCTTCTCTTGAAGCTCGTTACAGTTCTACTTTGAAGCCAAGGAAATGCCAAACATTTCAGCATGAGGCGGCTTGGCGAGGTGGACCCGGACAGTGGTCATCCGACCCCTCGAGAAGATGAAGATTTCTTGGTACGTAACATCGCAAGTTAATATCGAGCAACTCTGTCGCTGCAGCAGAGCTATTTTAACTTCTTGTTCCACACCTTCACGAAAACATTGTATGGAGTTGAAAATTTTGTGAAATTCGTGAAAGCATAGGATTTTCGCAAATTTGTTCTGTGCTGAACTCAGAGTTTGCAATCTTTCATCTTTCATCTGGTTCTTTTCTTTTTTTTCTCCAAGATAATACTCGACCTAGGACGATGGTGAAAATTCCTTTGTGCTCCTGTACTTCGCCGCTTACTTCGACTCCCATTGCACGAAACCGGCACTCTTCAGTGCGAAGCTTTTTTGAGTAAGTTCCTCGTATCATTTAAAACGGACCCAGAGAGCTTGACGCTAACACATTCTTCCTGCCTCTCACACGCTTTGAGTTCTTGTTATTCTGACTATCAAAATATGCTTGGTTTTCAAATAATGTATTATGTTGTTCTCACTATTTCGAATTAGGTCTGAGTACTAATGAGTTTTCTCTAGAAAAGAAGAAGACTTGGCTGGCCGAGACGGATTCCGATCCGCAGTAGGTGACAGCTCTTCTTGCCATTGCGGCTCGTCAACTAGCGGTCAAGAAGGGATTCGATCCGCAGTACGTGCGTATGGTGACAGCGCTTCTTGCCACTGCGACTCGCCCACGCCTGGCCAGAAAGGAATTCGATCCACAGAACGTCATTATGATGGCAACTCTTCTTGCCATTGCGACTCGTCTACTCCTGGCCAGCACGGGATTCGATCCGCAGTTTCTGTGCATGGTGACAGTGCTTCCTGCCATTGCGACTCACCCATCCGCTTGTATGGTCCTATTATTTTTGATGCAATAGAACTCTGTAGTTTGTTTTCAAGCGATTTGTTAATATCTGCTCTTTAGGAATTCGGAACTGGATCAGCTAGACATCGACGAAAAAAACGCGTTAGGTCTGCAGTATTTTTTTATTTTCCAAAGTACGTTCATACTTCGCGACTCGGATCGCGCGGTTCGATCGGGCCATGCAATTTTCAGAAATACGACCTGAGCGGTTATTGCAGTGGTCCCTTGATTGGACCGTATTCATACTTTGGAACACTGGAGAGTAGTAGAACACGAGAATCGAATAGGAGGATGCGTGCGAAAGGGAAGTAAAAGTATCGAGTTGGTCTTTGCGAGGATAGTAGAGCAGTAAAATTGGTTGACTCTCGTCCCGTCTTTTTGTGTTCTCGTCACTCGTTTTGAGAACATTCCCTTATTGATGGACTGCTGCAACGGCGCTCTCGTGCCAGTTGTTCGATCAAATCGCGTGATCGGAGCAACAAGTTGCGAAGAATAAACGCACTCTTGGAGTGCATTCGTACTTCAACAGAATGATTTAGTTGTTCATGTCCAGCGGCCGAGAGTGCTCCACTGCTAGTAGTAGTACTGCTGCCTCGTTTGATCACTTTCGAAATAAAATATTTTTTGGCGCTAAGGTAATTGAAGAGAGCCACGCTACCAAACGAGACCGCTACAACTTTGGTCATCCGTGCTCTTCTAACCTGCGAGATGAGAGAATTCACTAGTGGAAAGGAGAACGCGCATGATTAGAGTCGCCGTGGTCGTCCTTTTCAACCATTCCTCCTTGGTAAGTGAGAGTGAGCAGCTGGGATTCAGGGAAAGAGCAAGAATGCGTGAAAGAATTCATGCAGGAGTGATTGCAATAGAGGTTGTAGCGTTTCCATGATTAGACGCGGAGCGCCCTTAGCAGCCGTTCGACATGAGCGTCTGAATGCTGAAGTTGCGGAGATGCAGATTCCCGCGTAGATGATTTCCTCGGTGAACGAAGGAAATGTAGGGTTTCCTATTTGCAGTTGCAAGTGTGAAGCAGCTGATAGAGACCACAGAAAAGAATCGCAAGTTGACGAAGGAAAATGAAAAAATTCTCAATCAGAGTCACCTCTGGCATGAGGAGAAGTCGATTCTTGAAAAGCAGGTGAGTTTTGAGAGCGAATTCACTTTGTTTGTTGGGTTGTGACGCGAAAATTGATCCTACTTTGATAACTGCTGTTGCAGGTCAAGGAGAGAAACGCTCTTGTGGAAACCTTACAGAATGAATTAAAGGTAAGTACTCACTGAATGTTGATAAAATCACTTTCAAAGGACCATTTGGACCAAAAACAACTCTCTATTGATGCAGCTTATAGGAGAAGCGCACGAAAATTGAGCTGCTTGAATTACGAATTACTGATCTCTTGAAAACTGTAACGGAACATCCTTCAGAAGAGGTCTTTGAGGCATCCGAAGAGCTCGTGTCGGAGAAACAGGTTATTTTATTCGTTGGTAAATCAAAAGACGCGAAACGTATGCACAATTGAAGCCTAATTGGATCATTCCATTCCAATTGTGGCTCTGCAACAGAAATATTTGTGAGCTATGTATGTATCTTAAGCCATACTTTGCGAATGTGGAGAACGGGTTTCCAAGAACGCGTGACTCGCTAGTGAGTGGAACCATTCGAGTCGCATCTAATCTTTTTGTGGGAAGCTCTGCACATTGTCCTGAACATTGTCCTGTTGCTGTCTGTTATCACAAGAATGCTGAGTTATGGGCAAAAGTCAGATCCTAGACGGGACTCGAACCCTGATCTTCCGCTTGGGCGTTAGGCAGCGTTCAGACTTCGCGACGGCAGCGCTTCGGTCGCGCGTTCGACGCGATCGATGCGCATGCTTTCGACTGCATCGATCGCGTCGAACGCGCGACCGAAGCGCTACCGTCGCGAAGTCTGAACGCTGTCTTAACCGTTACGCCGCCGAGGCCGTTCTTACCTTCTCATGGTCAGCTCAATGGCTTATTTGTACCATAGCCTTCCAGCAAAACAACTTGAAACATGTAAAAAGCCTTCAGCCTTGCGGTTCACTGCCGATATCGGCTAACCGGCTCATCACGTTGAACGTGTGAGTGCTGTAAGGCTATGGCACAAATAGCCATTGAGCTGAGAGGATAAGAGCGGGCCTCTGGCGTAATAGTTAGCGACTCGCCCGGTGAGTGGGACATGCGGGTTCGAGTCTCGCCTGGGGTCAGACTTTTGCTCATAAATCAGCATTACTGTTATAACTTTCGAAGCGCTTACTGGCAGCTAAACAGCAGTTATCATACTACAACAACGAACATTGAACGACATTTTTAATGTCCATAATAGTTAGCCTGAATATAAAATTTTAGGATGCATGCGTTCAATGTGAGAAGAATGCTGATGAGGAAGAGAAACTCAAAAACGTACAGACGGTAATCCTACTCTTCAGAACTGTTTAACCCCTTGCCTTATCCAAGCAAAATTTTCAAGGAACTCCGGAAATCACAGGAGCATAATCGCTTCCTTGATGCAGAGAACCAAGAACTGCGATTCAAGCTGGAAAATCTTCATAAGGTTTCGGACGAAGTTGTTACTTTAAAAGAAGTGAGTGATATGTTGTAGCTTTGCTTCCACATAGAGGATTATACGGGTTTCTGAACGGTTGCATGCTTGAGACTCAAGCCAAAAAGGAGAAACGGTTTCAGTATTGATCAACATATCACTCACTTCTTTTAAAGTAACAACTTCGTTCGAAACCTTATGAAGATTTTCCAGCTTGAATCGCAGTTCTTGGTTCTCTGCATCAAGGAAGCGATTATGCTCCTGCGATTTCCGGAGTTCCTTGAAAATTTTGCTTGGACGAAGTTGTTACTTTAAAAGAAGTGAGTGATATGTTGTAACTTTGCTTCCACACACATACGGGTTTCTGAACGGTTG